TGAGGCCTCCTCTGAAGCCAGTTTTGATTGTAAGTAGTCCTTTCAGGCCTGTCATTTTGACCTGTTTGTTCTGTGGGCCTGTTAGCAATTGTTTGCTGTGCTTCCCATCCTTCAGTTTTTGGGCGCCACATAGTCCGAATAAGATCCTGTGTCCTGTAATGTACTACTATAAAGAATAGCAGCATCTTTCAACTGGACACAGGTCCCTCCCGCTCCAATTTTTTGCTCTACTCCTAGTATTGCTTCCTAAAATCTAGGAGGGGATATGTGGACTGTCCTTACAGCCTTTTCCAGTGTCTTCTGAAGGCAGCTACATGGTATAGGAGTAGGGTGGATTTGATTTAAATCACGATTTAAATCACTAGTCAGTAAGGCTTGATTTAAATCCTAGTTTTCTACATAAAGACTAATTCTTGCTGGTATAACTTTAATATGCAAGTAGATGAAGATTTTTAGAACAACAACTTTTCATATTAGTTTTTTTTTTTATCCCCAGTTTAATAGGTTAATCATTCATATTTGGACAACTTTTCTGTTGTACTTAGGAAGGAGAAAAATAATCTTTACCTTAATAATAACAATTTAAATAGATTTATTCAACTGAAACAATAACATTCCAGCATATGTGATTTGCTTAAACATCCATGTTTGTTAACTAATTTGGCTAAACAAAATATATATATTTTAAGAAACTTAGACTGTCAGCCCCTTCCTCCTCACACTTAGTCTCACTTTCTTCTTGTGCAGATCTATTCCACTCCAAACAATCAGAAAAATATTGTTTCTATTCTATTCACTGAACTTCTTGAAACTTAGTACTGAAGGGGTTGATTCTGTATTCATAGGTTTGTAGAAGTTAGGATGAAGGTCTTTTTCTTAACTCTGTTCATGTTATAACATTTTTGCTGTGAAGAAGAGGCATGTGATCTCCGCTGAGTCCAATTCAGTTTTGAGAACTGCAAAAGTAAACCGAGCATCTGTGATAATATCTTGTAGGCAGAGAAACTGCCCAATAATCCTACAAAAACCTCTGGAAGAGCATGACATTGTGAATGGATTCATGGAATTTATTTACCAAAAAAATTAAACATATACAGCCTTATTCTACATAATTAAAAAACTAATCTTTATTTCATGAGGGAATAACCTTGGGATGCTAATATATTTTCCTTAAAAAGCATTTTATTTAAAAAAATCCGATTTAAAAAAAAAAAATCCGATTTAATAAAAAAAATCCGGGTTAAATCAAAAAAATCCGATTTATTTTTTTTATTTTTTAGTATTTTTTTTAAAAAATCATTGATTTTTATCCACCCTGTATAGGAGTAATATCCTGCATCCTGTAAGGTCCTCCAAGAAAAGAATTTTACAGGCAGGTCAAGAATCCTTTTTTTCTTTTTCTTTTTTTTTTTTTTTTTTTTTTGCTATGTGCCCTAGCATGGAGACTGCTTTGTTGATCTGTGTGGACCAGCACAGCTCAATGCAAATGAGCCCTACCACCTCAAGCAAACCTTCATTTTATATATTCCTGCCTTAGTTACATAGTTAGTCTGGCTGAAAAAAGACAAAAGTCCATCCAGATTAACCATTAAAAAAAGAAAAGAAGAAAAAAAGTTATAATCCTATACCCACAGTTGATCCAGAGGAAGGCAAAAAAAACCCAGCAAAGCGTGATCCAGTTTTAGTTGTGTTTGTATGTGTTGTAGGATGATGATATAATTAATCTAAAACTTGGTAGTCTATTAGCTATTTCTTCTTGTTTTGTAGGTTTGATCGAATGGGCTCGGGGGGGCCCCTCTTTATCGATGTGACCTGGCACCCTGCAGGGGACCCCGGCTCCAATAAAGAGACCTCCTCCATGGTCATTGCAAGCACGGCTGTCAATTTTTGTGGCCTAGAGTCAATTCTACACATGACCTGTTGTCAGCAAACCAAGGAGGAAATCACAAGCCACCTACAGAAAGCCAAACATCAAGGACTGAAGAATATTATGGCTCTCAGAGGGGGTGAGGTCATGTGACTGGCAATAATCTACATGATTTCATTAGCTGCACACTCAGATAATGGTTTTAGTTCTTGGTTGTTAAACACAATGCTGATCATTTTTTATTTGTTTTTTTCAACTGCAATTTTCAAAGAAGTGATGTCTTAACCCCTTCCCCTCCAGAGGATTTACCCCCCCCCCCCCCTTCCTGACCAGGCCATTTTTTTGTGTTATGGCGCCGCGTTACTTTAACTGACAATTGCGCGGTCATGCAACGCTGCACACAGCGCTATAAACAAAAAAAGACTGACAATTTTGAGGAAAAAAACAATATTTTTAACTTTTTGCTATCAAACATGTCCAGTAAAAAAAAATTTTTAAAAATCAAATTTCTTCATAAATTTAGGGCAAAATGTATTCTGCTACGTCTTTGCTTAAAAAAAAAAAAAAAAAAAAAAAATCCCAATACGTGTAAATTAATTGGTTTACGTGAGAGTTATAGCGTTTACAAATGGCGGTATATATACTGGAATTTTTTTTTTTTAATGGGTTTTTTTTTTTTTTTTTTTTACTAGTAATGGCAGCGATCAGCAACTTCTAGTGGGACTGCGGTGGGCATGCTGACACTGGGGTGAATTGATTTGGTGTCACTGACCTCTCCAGTGACACCAATACGGTGATCAGTGCTAATGGCACTGGGCATTAAGGGGTTAACATCTGGGGTGATCAAAGGGTTAACTGTGTTCTGTTTCACTATGGGGGCTGTGTGTGTGCTTCACTGCAAGCACACTGCTTTTGTATGGCTGTGCTATGCAGAGCCATACAAAGCAGTGTGCAGGAGCTGATGGGAGAGATCTGCATTATTTACATACTGGTCTCTCCCCCCGTCGATGTTCGGCAATCACCGGCCGAACCCGGTGATTGACAGCCGAGGCTGAGAATGGCAGCGCAGGTAGGTGTGTATATATATATATATATGCGATTGTGCGCACCCTTGCCACTCTGTAGCAGTGTTTCTGTTATAGGGCGGAGGGGAAGTAGTTAAAACTGTCTCTGTTATTGATTTGATTATTGGCAATGATTGTACCTTTTACAGTAGAGACGATTTTTTTTTCCTTTTTTTTTTTTTTTTTTTTTTTTTTTTTTTTTTTAAGAATCCTTTTTGGGGGAGCGCGTATTATGGCAAATGTCTGCCCCCCTCCTTCCTCCCGCAGTCTTTCAGGACACTTCATAGGTCCCAGGAGACTATGGGACCAATCACAAGGTGCTGTGTGACTCGCACATGTGTAGTAGGAAACGGACTGTGAAGCCACAAGGCTTCTGGTTTCCCTTACTTGGAATGCTGCCGCTGGGAACCCGGAAGCTAGTGAAGAACTAGCCCTGGTGATGACAGTGCTGGACCCCTGGACAGGTAAATGTCCTTATATTAAAAGTCAGCAGCTACAGTATTTGTAGCTGCTGACTTTTAATTTTTTTGGGGGGGAGCTTGGAACTCCTCTTTAAGTGGCTCGGATGTTTTGAGGTAAGTGGATTACATATGATTTTGGGGTCACTGGTTGACACAGGCTAAGACCGGCTGGCACGTAAAACAAGAGGCATGAAGAGTTAAGCAAGCGAGGACATCAATGAGAAACTTGGCTTAAGTGTAGCGACACATTGGGGTTGATTTACTAAAACTGGAGAGTGAAAAATCTGTTGAAACTAATCGGCTTCCAGGTTTTATTGCCAAAGCTTAACTGAACAAGCTGCAGTTAGAAGCTGATTGGCTACCATACAGAGCTGCACCAGATTTTGCAGTCTCCAAATTTAGTATATTATTCCCATTGTTTAAATACCAAGCTATGCCCTGCTTCAAAATTGTAACCTTCAGCAATCGGGAGAACTGTCTCCTAATTAGCTGCGTTGCCAGCACTCTCAGTGAAACCCAGTAGGTACCGGTGGCTTTGAACTGGAGAGAAGATCTGTTGCTGGATTTGAAAATAAGTGAATGTGAAAATTGCTATAAAAAAAGAAAAAGGCATTAGGGAGGTGTTCTGTCTACCGCTGGGCAAAGAAACTGAAATTAGGGAAAGAATCTCTCCTATTTGAGACACAGAAGAAAAAAAAAACCCGACAGAGGATCCAACCCTTCCCCACTTCATCCAGAGCTAATAGACACATTTTTGCTGGACTTGGGCTAGAAAGTGATATTAAAGGATAACATTTTTTTTTTTATTAAAATAAAAAAAGAAGTTATACTTACCTGCTCTGTGCAACAATAGTGCACAGAGCAGTCCTTTACCTCCTCCTCTGGAAGTCCCCTGCTGGCGCTGTCCACTACTTCTTTCTCTGAATGTCCTGTTAGCAAACTGTGTGCAATGGAGGCATCTGTGCAGGTGTGCTCCCAATCTGGGCTGTGTGGGTCCATAGACACACACAGTGACGGTATGCCATTCCTCCGCTCTCTCCTCACAGGAGTTTGCCAGCAGCAGGAGACTATGACTCCCCCCTGCCTTCAGTGTTTCCTGTGAGACCAGGAAGCGAGGAAAGTGGTGCTACAGCCAGCACAGCACTGGACTGGTGGCAAGTCTCGTGTAAATGTATAGGGAGAGGGGGACTTTTATTTTTTTCTGGGTGTTTGGCATGCTGCCTCTTCATAGTTCCTTAGGAGCTGTTAGTACACTAGTACTCAAACAAAATCGTTGAAGCCATTGACTTGTCTTAATTGTTCTTGTAATTGTATGTATTTTTTTTCTAGATCCTATTGGAGAAGAATGGGAGGACGAGGCAGAAGGATTTAATTATGCGGTTGACCTGGTGAAACACATCCGGCAGGAGTTTGACGATTACTTTGACATCTGTGTTGCAGGTAAGTTTAGCACACTCACCGATTTGGGATTGAGATTCTGAGTTGATGGTAAAGACATTAATTACATGGTGTTTTGTTTTTTCAGGTTACCCCAAAGGCCACCCTGAGGCAAAAAGCTACGAGGAAGATCTAAAGCACCTGAAAGAGAAAGTGGATGCTGGGGCCGACTTCATCATCACGCAGCTTTTCTTCCGGGCGGAAACCTTCCTAAAGTTCCTGAAGGACTGCAGAGCCATAGGGATCACCTGCCCCATCCTTCCGGGAATCTTTCCCATCCAGGTGTGTCTGTGATGGGAAATCCTCAGGCTGTATTCATCTCTTTGCACTGCATTGTGTTGAGAATGCTATGTGTGTCCTTTTCTGAACATTCCACTTGCCTGGATGTCTTGATAATCTTAGGACTTCAGTACTTTCTTAATTTTAGATGCAGATTAGTAAGTGACTTGTTGTCTGAGCACCCATTGTCTCTTTTCCCCACACAGGAAGTAGGAGAAAATCTTCAGACAGCAAGTTTAATCTATTCATATTTTGCCTTCCTTGGTTCCCTCTTTGTTCTCATCAACATGCAAATACATTTTTTAAATAAAATGTTTCCATTCTCAATACATACCTTCTTTTTGACCCAATGATGTCATTATTGGGTCTCTATGCTTCTATATACAATGCATGCAGGTGATGGCTGGTGGGAGGGGCTGACAGAGTGCTGTACATAGCTTCCTGAAAATGTCACAGCACCCTGCCTCAGTACTCCTGTCAAGAGCTCTAAACCCTGGTGTATACAGTGGGATGGCTCTTCGGAGGAGTTATACAAAAATCAAAATACCATGATGGAGGGATACCAGTCTGGAGGTGTGGGCATTCCTCAGCGGCCTGTATTTGCATGTAGATCCCCATAGGTAACACCCACATGTGAGCTGAGCTTGTTGAAATTACTGAAATTCAATGAATGAGAGAAGCCAGGGACAGTCAGGATAGTGAGGAAAGGGCTAGATGATTTTGGACATTCTCCAGCCAGGAAAAGAGGCAGACACACATCTGACTTGCCGCAGCTTCTAATGCACATTGTGAGGAGCTCACAGTGTGCAGTGAAATCAGAGTAAGTAATTTCAGTACAGGAGAGGAGCTGGTATAACTGTGCAAGACTGAGGGAAGGCCGGAGTTAAGCTTTAATAGACCAAAAGGGAGCAAATAATTTCATTGTAAGGGTTTCTATAGACTTTAACAGCCAACAAGCTATCATCTGACCTCTCTTCCTCTCCCCACCATGTAGGGTTATTGTTCCTTGCGGCAGTTGGTGAAACTCTCCAAGCTCGAGGTACCCAGAGAAATCACGGATGTGATTGAACCCATGAAGGACAATGATGCTGCCATCAGGAATTATGGTATTGACCTGGCGGTGTCTATGTGCAGGGAGCTGCTGGACAGTGGAGCGGTACACGGGCTGCACTTCTACACTCTGAACCGGGAGGTGGCTACCATGGATGTGCTAAGGCGCCTGGGGTTGTGGCAGGAGGATCCCAGGTGGGTGATGTTCCCTATATATGTCAGTAATAATGTCTGTTTTCATGTCCTCTTCTGGGTTCATTTATGATTCCTGATGTTGAACGTTTCTTCTCAATACTACATCAGACGGCCTCTCCCGTGGGCGGTCAGCGCACATCCGAAGAGAAGAGTGGAGGATGTTCGCCCCATTTTCTGGGCCTCCAGACCAAAGAGCTACATTCACAGGACACAGGAGTGGGATGACTTCCCGAATGGGCGCTGGTATGTGTATGGGTGAAGAGATTGGATTGGTAAAAGGACAGGACTGTGAAGACGTCTCGGAGAGGCAGTGAGACCATTTTAAAAGGACAGGGGGATGAGGATTCTATAAAATCATATCTGTCAGTGGTGTGCGGTTTGTTACTTCTAGTATTTATATAGCAACAATATATTACAGAGTTCTGTTGAAGCATGCTGATGGGTAGAGAGAACAGTGACAGATGAGTTCATTAACCTCCCTGGCGGTATGATTATTTCCGATTTTTTTTGTGCTGAAAGCGGTACATTATTTTGCATGGAAATATGTAGTTTTTTTATTGTAGGCTGTAATTTTTAGGAATAACTCACTGAAATCTGTCCGAACAAGAGTCTATTAAACATCCCGGGTAGGATAAAATTTGAAACACGAAATCATAAATTATAATTTAATAAATAATCATAAAAAAATAATAATATATTAATAATAAATGTAATTCAATAATATAATCAAACCAAAAACACTGAAATTTGAAATACAGAGGCAAATTCGTACATCGCTGAGCAAAGTCGCAAAATCGGTTTCAGTGTCTGATGACGAATGTCCCCACGAATCATTATCACTCAATTCTGCAAGTGGTTCTGATTTCCTATCGCTGTTCTCTAGCCGGTCTAAAACCGCTTTTGACGTAAAGGGACGCTTTTTGGACGCCATGGACTTTTCTAAGTTTCCAGGCAGAAAGAACAGTCAAAATGCAGGCAGGGCGCAGGACAAAGCAGTAGGGACAGAAATGTATGTGAAATGCATTGAAACAGCAATGTTTTACTATGTAATAGTAATTTTAAAAAAAATGATATTTTTTAAAAATTTCAAATTTGCCGCCGGTTCCGGCGCCCGTACGTTCTGACGTTACAGGGACACGGAAGCCGGATGCCGGCATCGGCCGGAGGAGATGGCCAGGGACGCTGCAGGGAACACATCATGGGAGCGAAGGACAAGGTAAGTGCTGCAGGGACTCCCAGAGCAACGCCGCATGGTAAGCCCGAGTGTAGCTCGGGGTTACCGCTTTTGGTACTGACATTTTACCCCGAGCTACACTCGGGAATACCGCTAAGGAGGTTAAGATAATGCTTCTCCTTCACTGTCCTGTCAAAGGCTGGGGCGAATCCGTGACGGCCTGGGTTTAGAGAAGTGAGCTGAATAAACCTAGCTGTCATTTTACCTGGAAGACTAAGGAGACATTTAATGGCATAAAAGAAGATGGCTCTGAGCTAGAGTATTGCATCCAATTAGTTTTTTAAAAATAACTTTGAATGTGCTAGTTTTTAATTTGATTTCTGTCTGGAGTTCCGCTTTAACGTTACTGACAAGTTCACATAAGTTAAAAACTGTGGGGTAGATTTACTAAAACTGGAGAGTGCTTGATAGATAATCTGCTTCTAACTTCAGCTTGTTCAGTTAAACCTACTAAAGCAGGGACAGACTGACAACTCATGGGGCCCCCAGGCAATAGGGGATCATGGGGCCCCTGTGTCTTTGCCCACACTCAAAATAGCCTATGAAAAAGGTACCAGGGGCATCTCATGGGGCCCCCTACTGACCCCGGGCCCTCGGGCAGTGCCCAAGTTTCCAAATGGTCAGTCCACCCCTGTACTAAAGTATAAAAATCATTAAAAAAGTTAATCTTTGATAAAAAAAAAAAAGCCTGGAAGCTGATTGGTTTCTATGCAGAGCTGCACCATGTTTTGCACTCTCCGGTTTCAGTAAATCAGCCCCTGTGTGTGTTGTATTTGTTTTATTTATTTTTTTTAATTTTGCAACGTACCTTGAAAATGTTTAAAATGCTTATATAATTCCCTTTTTAATGTTTTCTTTGATAATAAAGGGGTAACTCGTCATCTCCAGCCTTTGGAGAATTGAAGGATTATTACCTCTTCTACCTGAAGAGCAAGTCGGCACGAGATCAGTTGCTGAAAATGTGGGGGGAGGAGTTAAGCAGTGAGGAGAGCGTATATGAGGTCTTCACTAGCTACATATCTGGGAACCCCAACAAGAATGGACACAAGGTAAATTCAGGATCAGGTGGAGTATTTAGTCACAAGTACTCCTTCAGTGGACAGTAAACAGCAGGGGATGGTTCACCAGCTTTACCCTACTATAGGATATTCGCAGATGGGACCGTTTTCTTTTCTCCAAACTGTGAACACTCACCTGATGGTTTATTATTATGGGCTATTGCTATGATATTTATTTCAGGTACTTATATAGCGCCGTCAATTTACGCAGCACTTTACATATATATTGTACATTCACATCAGTCCCTAACCCTCAAGGGGTATACAATCTAAGGTCCCTAACTTACATTCATACATACACATACTAGGGCCAATTTACACAGGAGCCAATTAACCTACCAGCATGTCTTTGGAGTGTGGGAGGAAACCAGAGTACCCGGAGGAAACCCACGCAGGCACAGGGAGAACATGCAAACTCCAGGCAGGTGGTGCCGTGGTTGGGATTTGAACCAACGACCCTAGCACTGCCAGGCAGAAGTGCTAACCATTTAGCCATGATATCACCAACCATATTTTTCTTTGGTGCCCGATATGTGACCTGTGTGTTACGTACATCCCAGCAGTGTGCAACAGGCATTCCGCTGTTAACATAAAAACATATATAAATAGTGTTGCGCTAACTCCTATATAAATAATAAATGAATACAGGTCAACCAAGCATGGTAATTCCAAAAAGATGCTGTAGATGGCAGCAGAGAGCTGATGACAGGCGCCTCTTCAATGACAGTATATATAGGGGACTCTTCTCAGCTCCACATACAGAAAGAACAGAAGACCTCTCCCAGTGTAATACTGTTTAATTCCACATATTCCAGAGTATCACTCATATGATAGAAGCAGTAACAGATCGATTTAAAATTTAAAACTCCCGCTCCATAAAAATCCGGCAATGACGTCACTAGGCTCCGCCCCACGCGTTACGCCACCAACCACGTGGCTTCGTCAGGGAAAATGTTTAATTTAATTTATAGGTCCGTGGTATGAGGTGAGTGGCCATCTATATCTTTAGGTGGAGGAACACTAAGTCAAGGTGGAGCACTGTGTTTGTTTTTTTTAAAAGGCTTCATTTGTCTGGAGCACGTCGTATTGATTTTTCACCATTCAAGCACTTTATTGGTTTTTCACCATTCAAGCACTTTATATATTTTATAATTTATATTTCATATTTTGATTGAACTATCACATTTTGAACTTTTTATGGACTATTATTTATATATGAGTTAGCACAACACTATTTGTATGTGTTTTAAGTGTGGGATCACCTTTTAAGTGGCTCTATTTTATTAGCTCATTCACAAGTTTGATAGCGCACATTGTTTTATTTTATTCAGGCGTTCCGCTGTACTCTGCCCCGTTTTGTGCAATCCAGCCAGAATGCTCCAATTAACACTTAACATTTCCAAGAGTCCGCTATCAATGCCACTGCTGAATCCCCATCTGTTTTAGAAGTACTCCCATCTAAACAAGCTTTGCTGCTTTGTTTGTTTTACACAGGAGCCAATGCGAGTTCTCTTTTATTAGCATAAACAAAGCTGATGGCTAATTCATAAAGACAGATCAGGACTTTGCAGGGTTTGTTTAACCCACCGTACTTAGGCAGGGCATAGACGGGCCATTTATCGGTCGAATTTTCGGCCGATAAACGAAAAATCGGACGATGCTGCCACCAATGTCCACGAAAACCGTCCGTTTTTCGTGGATTTTCCAGCATGACCGATAAAAGTAAACGAGAAGATCCTCGAAAAACGGCCAACGGTATTGCCCCACTAACGGTGTGAATATGGGACGTATTTTCGTGCGGACGAAAATTTGACCGATAAATGACCCGTCTATGGCCTGCATTAGTACGAATGGCTTTGTTTACTTTGATTGGGTCTGAAAGTACAAATAAATTTGAAGGTAAACCAAGCCATTCATATGAATGTCAGCAGATGAAGTAAGAACAATAGTGATTGACCTTTGTACTCCCTTCACACCTGAATACTATGATTGGATTTATTTACAAACACAAATCCATTCTTACATATAAAAAAAATTGCATCCAATTTTTAAAGTGAAAAAAAAAAATCTATTTGAACCTTTTTTCCTGATTTATTAACTACCACCTAAAAAAAGCAACAGATAAAGAAAAAAAGATAACATTAATGATTTATCTTGGTGATGCCAAACTAATAACTGAAGACAGAAAATTTACAAAGATAAGTTATTGTGTGACCTTTCTGACATGTTGGGGTTTATTTACTAAAGCTGGAGAGTCCAAAAACAGACTCCCTTCTGCATAGAAACCAATCAGCTTCTAACATCAGCTTGTTCAATGAAGCTTTGGCAATGAAACCTGGAAGCTGATTGGTTTCTATGCAGAAGGGAGTCTGATTCTGGACTCTCCAACTTTAGTAAATAAACCCCGTTGAGTCACCTGACACTTGAGGCCTTCTATACTTCCTAAATTGACCACCACTGATAGGTGCTCTGTGGTATGATCCCATATTGTCCTAGTAATGGAGTAGATGCGTCCCGCTGTCTCTTGCACGTGTTTTTTGATGAATCGGAGTGGTCTGTTTGGCATTTTTCCCTGAACTCTACCTCCTCCATCCCCCAGCCTTTTGTTAGACTTCCAAAGTTATCTGACCATACTTCCCTTCCTCCTCCCCAGGTGACCTGTTTGCCTTGGAACGATGATCCGCTGGCCCAAGAAACCAATTTTCTGAAGGAACAGCTTGAAAAGGTCAACAAAAGAGGAATCTTGACCATTAACTCACAGCCTAATGTGAACGGGAAGCCATCCACGGATCCAGTTGTTGGCTGGGGCCCCAGCAAGGGCTATGTGTTCCAAAAGGTATCTTGTTAATACAAGGAGAGTTAAAGGGCCAGTCCACCTTTTAAAAAAAAAAAAAAAAAAAAAAAAAAAAAAAAGGTAAATGCAGCAACGTAGATCTTATGATCAATGTGCATTTACTTTTTTTTTTTTTTAATTGATCAGTGTGTTGTGGGTGCAGTGCACAGGTTCCTTCCATGTATTTCCCCAGCCTCTGGTCCATACAGAGGTACAGGCCTGCTGTCCTGGTGCAGGAGGAAGTGCAGCAGGACTACAAGTTGAGGAGGGATTGCCACTGCGCTGTACACAGCCCCTCTGCTATGGTGACAGATGGGACATGTAGTAATTTAAAGTGGAAAGGAAGTCGTTTTAAAGACAGACTGCGAGCAATGTCTCTTCTGCAATAATATGCACCCACCTGCCTGCTCACAGTGATCTCTGGCATGGTAACTGAGCGGTGTGTCAGGAACATTGGCTCCTGCACATGCACAGGAGTGACATAGTCTCTCGACAGCCAATGAAGGTGGCCAAAGACCAGCACATAGAAGAAGATGCTGGCGAGGGATGGGGACCATTGGAGTAGTAAGTAAGGATCCGTTTAGTTTCACTTTAATGTAGACAATCCCTAACCTGAACGACATTGCTGTCCAGGCTTTACCATTGGCAGCCATGCTAACTACAAATTTCGGACAGAATAAGCACTTAAATTGGTGGGTGGAGGAGGTGGCATTTTAGGAATGGTTGTACACTTCATGTTGTACACTAAACATGGGTATGACATGAAGCTTGGTCTAAAATGTGCATTTTATTTTCAAGCAGCTGTGTGGATTATTAAAAGTGAAAACCATTGGTTTGAAGCATGTTAAGAAATACTTTAATACAGTTTATTTGCCCAAATGAACATGTTTTAAATCTTAGGCAAGACAAAAGATAGACCTACAGGGGTTTATTTACTAATCAGACTCCCTTCTGCATAGATACCAATCAGCTTCCAGGTTTCATTGCCAAAACTTCATTGAACAAGCTGAGGTTAGAAGCTGATTGGTTTCTATGCAGAAGGGAGTCTGATTTCGGACTCTCCAGCTTTAGTAAATCCCACAATGTCCATGTAAGGGATGGTTCTAGTTGGATGCTGTAGGACTGACTCTTTGCTGAGAGTTCAGCCAGCTCATGCTGAGGCAAAGCAGAACCTTTCATTAATTGTGGCAGGTCCCCTTTAATCGATAATAATAGGTGTGTACATCCAGGAATGGCCATTATTGCTCTTTAACCCTTCTGCTGCCACCAGTACAAGGTATAAATTAGCATGAGCACTAACCTATAAACAGAATTTGTCCATCACCTCATCCTCAGGAGTATTTACTTTTGTATCACTTGCCCTCCTCTTTTAGATTTTACGCTTTCACAAACCGGGTCCTCCTTGTCTACTTGTCTTGATTTTCTTTGTGACTGTAATATTGGAAAGCGATGAGAAAACTGTTGGTTCTATATCAATCCAGTAATAATTTCATGTGAGGTACTGAACGCCCTCTGTGTATACAGGCCTACCTGGAGTTCTTTACATCCAGCGAGATGGTGACCGCTCTTACCAAAGTCTTAAAGAGATATGAACCTCGTGTCAACTACCATATCGTCAATGTACACGTATGTATATGTGTCCTTTTGTCATGTGTATTACAGAATGATTCTCCTCCATGCTGGGTTTCATGTGTTAAGTAAATGAAGAAATTCAGAGCAGTTGGTTTTTCCATCAGATAAAATTGTATTACCTTCTCTCTTTGCAGGGTGAAAACATCACCAATGCCCCCGACCTCCAACCAAATGCTGTGACGTGGGGCATCTTTCCTGGCCGCGAAATTATCCAGCCTACGGTGGTGGATCCAGATAGCTTCATGTACTGGAAGGTACCTGTCCCTTCTGAAGTCCTACTGGTCTTCTGTGTGAAAACTGATGTGCTTGTTTTGCCAATTGACAGAAATTACCTCAGAATCTGCCACAAAGCAAACTTAACCACTTCCAGACCGGACACTTTTACCCCCTTCCTGTCCAGGGCAATTTTCAGCTTTCAGCGCTATCACACTTTGAATGACAATTGCGCGGTCATGCAACACTGTACCCAAATGAATTTTTTACCATTTTTTTGAGACAGATAAAGCTTTATTTTGGTGGTATTTATTCACCGCTGGGATTTTTATTTTTTTTTGCTATGTAAATGAAAAAGTCCAAAAATTTTGAAAAAAAGTGTTTTGCAATTTTGCAAATAAATAATATTTCATCATAAATCTTTGCCAAAATTTATTCCGTTATCTTTTTAGTAAAAAAAAATCCAAATTAGTTTATAACCAAAAATTATAATTTTTAAACACTTTTTTTTTACATTTTTATTTTATTTTTTTATATTATTATTTTTTTTTATTTTTTTTTTTTTTACATACTGTCACCCTAGCAGTACAGTGTCACCATGGTGACACTGTACTACTTGTGGGGGGTGATGAAGATTTTTTTTTTTTTTTTTACACATTGCTTTTACACCCATATAGGATGTAAAAGCAATCATTTCTCCTTCTCTCTGTCTGCATTCTTGCACTCATTGAGAAGTACTGAGTGAGCTGTGATTGGTCACACCTTGTCACATGGTACAAGGCTGTTGTGAATAGGCTTGTACCATGTGACCTCTGTGATCATTCACAGATTTCACACGTAGTAAGCAATGATGTCACAAGTGACATCTTGCTTACTACTTTGCATGTGATCACTGATTGGCCAATCAGTGATCACATGATCGGGACCTCGTACAGAGGTCCCGTCCGACGATCGGTGTTTCACTGTGTCCGGAGGACACAGCGGGCACTGGATCGCGGTGCTACGCGCTCCCAGGGAGCGCGCACAAGCAGGGTGCAGGGAGGACATTTATAAACGGCCACCCGACCCTGCACTGCCACCGTCCGGCCGTTTATATGCATGCAACGGCCGGTCGGGAAGTGGTTAAAGGGAAAGTATAACCTTGTCAATGTGCAGATACATTGGCAGCTGAGACTGCAGTACTACTTGGAGTATTCTTTTAAACACAACTGTGATGTTGATTGGAGCAGTGTTTGGGGGAAGGTCCCTGTTAAATGATGAAGAGTTGGATTGCTGTGGTATGTGTGAGGTACGGTTAGACTTTTCACTGTGCTGCTAGCACAAGGTATAGTAACCGTTGCTGCAGTACTTAGTAGCTAAAACAGTAAAAAAAAAAAAAAAAAAACCCTACATTTATGATGGTATATTCAGCCTGACCACCTTACAGTATAGAAAAACGAGGGTTCAGTTAAGATTTAAGCTGTCTAATGAGAACTTTCTTGCACAGGATGAAGCCTTTGCCTTGTGGATCGAGCAGTGGGCAAAGCTTTATGAGGAGGAATCACCATCTCGAATGATCATCCAGTACATCCACGATAATTATTTCCTAGTCAACTTGGTGGACAACGACTTCCCCCTGGAGAACTGCCTGTGGCAGGTGATAGAAGACACATTTCAAGAACATGACAACCCAACAGAGCAATGATGCTGAGAATCCCATAGCTGCCTCCACTACCTCGTGCTACACAGAGCAGGCCCCTGCCATTGGTAGGGAAGTCCAGCCCTGTTCCTCACCTCTATCAATGGAAAAGGTCTGCGTCTGGTTACTTTATGCAACCCTCCTGTGATTTTGTGATCTGGTCCGTCCAAACAGGATATTCCTGGTCTTAGGATACAAAGTCCCATTTGCAATGCAATGTGTAACTACATCCTAATCATAGGAACTGAGCAACAAATCTTGTTAATGGTTGACTACTACTACAAACCTCTTTCCCAGCTCTTACTATGAATGTTTTTTGTTTTTGTGTGTTTTTTTTTTTTTTTTAATGTGAACGTGATGGATTGGTCAAGACTGACTTTGCCCAAGAGCCAAGTTACTAATTCCTATGAAGTAAACTTAGAAACAGCTCTTAATTTTTTTGAGCCTTTGCTATTGTTGTGTGGTCCATGCTATAGAGGGGTAACAATAGCTACAAAGCCTCCCATGCAATGTGCAATATAACTAAATGCTACACCTAGGAAGAAAATATACTAATGGTTGACTTATTGGCATGTCAAAGCCTAACCACAGTCCAGAAGGTGACTATCCCATCAGTTTTATTAGTGCATTTTATTACAAAGGTGAATGTAAAGAGGACTGCTTCAAAGAGACAGATGTGTGGTCAAAGGTTTGTGGACACTTGACCTTCAAGTGTATATGAGCTTGTTGGACATCCAGTTCTAAAACCATGGGCATGCCCTACTTTGTGGCCATAATGGCCTCCACTCTTCTGGGAAGGCTTCTCAACAGGCTTTGGATAGTGTCTGTGGGGATGTGTGCCCATTTGTTTGATGAGGTACTGATGTTGGATGAGAAGACCTGTCTTACAATCAGTGTTCCAAATGATCTCAAAGGTGTTTAGTAGGGTTGAGGTCAGGACTCTGTGCAGATCACTTGAGTTCCTCCACAACAAACAGGCCGAACCATGTGTTTTTGGAGATGGCTTTGTATACAAGGGCACAGTTACACTAGAAAAGTGTCTTCTCCAAACTATTACCACAATGCTGAAAATGCATAATTGTCTAAAATGTCTTTGTATTATGTAGCATTAGCCGTACCCTTCACTGGGAACACTTGAACTCAGTCATTTGGAGTGGTGTCCACATACGTTTTGGCCATATAGCTCTTTCCGAGTTTCAAACAGTTCGTTTTTTTCCCTTTTTTCCTGATGTCATGCTGTCCAGTGTTGTGTGTGTTTTTTTTTTCCTCCATTTTTTTAATAGGATATCTTTCTGGTTTTAGGAAGCCAACTCTAATACAAATACAGTGCAATATTTACCTGAATTCTAAATAAAGAAACTGCCCCGTGGACTACAATAACTATTTTATCAGGATACACTGCAAGTCTACATTTCAGAACTATTTTCTGATCTGTTTTTATAAGTATTTGACTGTGAACACATTAACGTGTGGTAGTCTGTATCAAGGACTACTTCTAGTGCTTAACAAATCCCTGCTAATCTAGCCACTGAAGCTAAAAGAAATATTTACAGCTGCTAATTTGTCATCTTGAACTGCTTTATAGTTGCCATGACTGTCATATGTTTCCGGGGCCCCAGAGAACTCCCAGATTGACATTCATTGCCTCTCCAGGTGGCCCTACAGCTCATCCACTGGCTGCAGTTGGATACTTCGAGGACATGTTCCTTCCTGCATGCAGATACGGATAAGCTGCTCTTATGCTATTTATTTTTTTTTCCCCCTAGATTCCAGCGAACTTTATTCCAGAGAGTGTGAACATGCAAAGCCAGACTGTGGCATATTGTTCAGTGCCAAACGCCCTCATACTCCAGACATGTTTCTCCCCAATAGGGGTTTAGTCACGAGGGTGGGGGGTGGCATGTGTGTCTATAAATGAATCTCCCACATTACTCAAGTACCCCATCTTTATGACTAAAGTCCTATTGGGAAGAAATATATCTTAAAATGTTACTAAACCCACAACAGTACAATCAGTCTGTATATGCAGTAAAGCATGCTTGTTATACTCACTGTGGAACCTAAGGGGTTAATCCTCCACTGTAAAACGACTGTGTGATCCTGTCTTTTCTGATCCTGTCCTTCTACTGTTCCCAATCCATCTGCTGATAGTACAGATCCCTAGCAGGTGCTCTGAACTTGTTCAGTTTGGTGTATATTGCTGGAGTCGTTTTTTTTTTGATGGGTGCATGTTATCGGCACAGGGCCAGTCAGCAGGATCAGAGGGTTAGGGGTCATACAGCCTCATAGGACAGTCAGAGGAGAATGAGTTCTACTACAAGCTTTAACCAGTGCTCGGCCAGACACTGATAGAAGTCACGAGAATGCTATATAATGCTGATGAGAAAAGGTATTTAGTAAGCTAATTTTTTTCCATGTTTGGACTGTGGGAGACCAGATATAGTGAATGCAGGGTCCGGGGAGACCGGATATAGTGAATGCAGGGTCCGGGGAGACCGGATACAGTGAATGCAGGGTCCGGGGAGACCGGATACAGTGCATGCAGGGTCCGGGGAGACCGGATACAGTGCATGCAGGGTCCGGGGAGACCGGATACAGTGAATGAAGGGTCCGGGGAGACCGGATATAGTGAATGCAGGGGCTGGGGAGAGTGGATATAGTGAATGCAGGGTCCGGGGAGACTGGATATAGTGAATGCAGGGTCCGGGGAGACTGGATATAGTGAATGCAGGGTCCGGGGAGACCAGATATAGTGAATGCAGGGTCCAGGGTTTAGTAACACTGTAAGAAGTAGAAGAGGGTCTGACACTGAACAGTTGGACACAGTCTGGCTGTGTAAGTTTACACTACCCGCTATATTGCTTTTTGATTGTTAGGGGAAAAAAAATAGTAGAAGGGCACCCTGTTTGTAACTCCCAAAGTGAACTAACTGGATTCTGAACTGAACTCTGGAGTTTTCCACCTTACTAAGATCCCGGTCACGCCGATCCGACTTTTGACATCGTGCAACTTCCAGTGAAGTTGCACGATTTCAAAGTCAGATGCCATTCAGACTTGAGGTGTGACTTGCAAGATGTCTATGCAAGTTGTACCTGAAGTAGTCCATGCACTACTTTAGAGATTGGTGCGGCTCCACCCAAGTTGGAATTGCACTGATGTGACCGCTTTTATTTGCGTACAATAGGGTGTGACTTGTCATGTGATTTGCAACTCACATGGCACGTTGCACACGGTGTGACTGGGGTGTAATGATACTTTGAAATATATGCCAGAGGGGCAAGCAGGAACAGATCCTTTTCTCCAAATTGGGAGTGTTAATCATGGGTGATGTCACTACCTAGCAAGTACATGGTCCTGTGCTCCTGATAACGGCTTTTTATTTGTTTACAGGAAAATAAGATCGTTCTTTACACAGGCTGATCTTAAAGCCTAAGTATAGCAAAATTCAAAAACACAGAAATCAGCACATGATACGTAACTTAGCGTGAGTATGCTGTGTCCCTTGTGCTAATTCTTCTTTTAGGATGATCATTCAGTGTGGCAGGAGTTGCCACAACTAAGGGGCTGGCAGGAGCTCAGTTATCCCTTTCTTGCCAGATCCCCCATTCAAAAAAGCTGTACTACAGCTTCTATGAATGACACAGAATCCCTGAATGGGGGACGGGTGCATGATTGATTCACAGATATGATTCATGTTATACTAAGTAAGTTATGTCCCTTGTGCTGGTTTTTATGTTTTTGATTTTAGCTAAACATAGGCTTTAAGGCTGGTGTAGGACAGTGTTGTAATACTCTAATATAGCGCATGTCACACATGTCAGTAGAGTCCCACTTACTTCTATGGTGCAGTGTGGATGGCAGATCTGAGGTTGTGTTTGACCAGATTTAGGTTTCTCTGGAAGTTATCGGTCCTAGTGAGGGACATTTGTTTTGCTGGCAGAGCATGCTGACTGTGGCTTTTTGCTGTGTTTTTGTGTGTATGGTTTGTAGCAGTGCTGTGATCAAATGCAAAACATTTGACAACTCCCATCCACACAAGACCTTACACTGTCAAAAACTGTATAATCTTTACATTTTATAAGCTGATTTTCTGAAGGTCTTTTGAAATATATTTTTTAAGATGTTGTGTAAAGTGATTTACAGTGAAAGAATTACATCTTTTGCAAGATTTGATTGTGGGCTCACTTTTTTCCCCCATTACTTGTACATTTGTACTTTATTTGAACTTTCAAAGAAAATCTAAATACTACAGGATACTTTTTTTTTTCCAAGTAGATGTAAACCCTACCAGGATAGCATTTAGTTTGCTAAAGTGTTGTGTATCAAAGAATTTCCATGATTTGTCTATTTTTTTTTTTCTTCTTTCTTTTGATGGGTCTCCATGCTTCTTATCTCCTTCAAATGCTTCCTTTCTCCATGTGACTTATAGGGGTTTATTTACTAAAGCTGGAGAGTCCAAAATCAGACTCCGTTCTGCATAGAAACCAATCAGCTTCTAACCTCAGCTTGTTCAATGAAGCTTTGGCAATGAAACCTGGAAGCTGATTGGTTTCTATGCAGAAGGGAGTCTGATTCTGGACTCTCCAGCTTTAGTAAATAAACCCCTTACTGTCACTCTAAGCAGGAGAAGTATGTTTTTTTTTTTTTTTTTTTTTTTTTGCCACTGATGCTCAGATTTAGGGGGTACCGGCGTGAGATAGACTACTGCCTGGTGATATGTCATAGAAGCACAAAACGCAGCTCCCCTGGCCCAATCTGTATGTATGATCGGGCCTCTGACTGCATCACTCAACAAACCACACCCCCTGATGTTTTGCTCCACCCACCAGGGCTTAGTCATTGTCATCTGCTTGATATCATTGGTTCTGTACAGCCACTTGTAGTCCCTACCCGGTGTACGTGGAGAAGACAGCAGAGCACCATTGATAGACAGTTGTCACCCTACAATGTGAAGTACCTTTTGTCTCAAGATTACCAGATATTGTTTTAATCAAAACTGCAATTTT